CATCGCTCAACTTCTGTATCCTCACGTCCAGAAAGGGCAAGCTGTCTCCAATTGCCTCTTAGCGGGTAAACTCTATGGCTGGGAAGACGTCATTGGGCCTCTGGTGAAGCCGTTCGACTTCGCACTTCTTTATTATGACAAAGGTGTCATCAACGTAGCAAAACTATAGTTTTGGTTTGATAGTTTGGAATGCTACCTCTTCTGGTCGCTGCAACACTAGTTCGGCGAGCAGTCCTGATATGGGTGAGCCCGTCGGCGCTCCCTATACCTGTTCGTAGTACTTATTATCGAATTGACAATAGTGCCTAAGGCAAAGATTTTGCAGTTCGATAACATGCTGTGTTGGGATCTCAATAGGATTGTTCTGTAGGCGTTGGGTTGCGCATTCAACTGCCAAATCGTGTTGTATGGAAGAAAACAAGGCAACGACGTCAAAGGACAGGAAGCATTCATCAGTACTTACTTTGAAGCCTTGCATCCTGCGGAGGAATGTTTGAGAGTTGTTAATGCTGTAGTCTGATCCATGAGTGAGCCGCTTCAAATGATTGTACAACCACTTAGCTATATTGTAAGTTGGTGATCCGATGAGTGGCACTATAATCCTCAGCGGGACATCCACCTTGTGCACTTTCGGGAGGCTATACGCGTGTGCGATATGGGGATCACTGAGGGTCATCAACTTGGAGTCATCTGGACTGATAACTTTCAGGCGAGCGAGCTCATTAACGCTTTTCTTGATGGCTGCGGCTTGCTTTTTCGTCGGGTCTTCGGCGAGAAGGGTATAGGCCTCCATGTCACTGAAGATTTCATTCGCCTTGTTAACGTATTCAATTTTGTCCATGATGACAGTAGCGTCACCCTTGTCAGCGGGAACAACGACAATACTGTGATCTGACTTCAATGATCGTAATCCTTGTGCTTCTTCGGCCGGCAGATTTTGTTGGTATCTTTTTTGTCGGATAATACCGGTGGCGCAGCACCGTATGTTTCCGCGCATGTCTTCCGGAAGGTTGGAGGCCAGTAGGAAGTCGGTAGGTGCGGCATCCGTATGATTAAATCCTATTCCCTTTGAAAGGAGGGTGATTTCCGCAGGTGAGAGACTCCTCTTCGATAGGTTGACAATTCTCGTGGTCAAATTCCCTTCGTTCGTAGGACGGAGAAGTGATTGGAGTTTCTCCTGGAGATCAAGTCTCTTCTTCAATCTAGCATCTTTGGTGGTTGCGTAGATTCTTTGCTGCACATCCTCGAATACGTTCTTAGGTAGCGCTGAAGCACACTGATTTTTTAGGTCAGTATCAGTATCAGTATATTTCAGGGAAAGTAGGTGTGTACCTTTGAAATCCCTATTGGTTACATGCAGAGGATATATATGGAGGAAATGGAACGGAAGTAACATGAAAGAAATGCGAGGGGAATAGCAAAAACTGTACAGAAAAACACAGAATGTCATGCGTTAACAGAATTTAGAGGAATATTAACTTGCTTTGTTGGTCAGTAAATTTTACTTCGAATCTGCGGAGACGATTGTGGACGTCAGATATTACAGCACTCACAACACGCCATCCGTATTTGCGCGCAAGAAATCTCCCGGTCTCATTCGGCAACGTCAGTTTGAAACGAAGAGACTTCGGTAACACACCGTGATCGCGACAGCGGTGGAGGAAAGTCAGTTGTTCGCAAGTCATTGCATGTCTCTGTGCAAATTTCTCTCAACGTCTGGTAAGAATAAGCGTTTGACGCCCAAATATACGTTGTAGACCAGAGGTGGTATGCATTATTATGACACTTTTGTCATAATAAAGAAGTGCGAAGTCGAACGGCTTCACCAGAGGCCCAATGACGTCTTCCCAGCCATAGAGTTTACCCGCTAAGAGGCAATTGGAGACAGCTTGCCCTTTCTGGACGTGAGGATACAGAAGTTGAGCGATGGCAGCCTAGCAACAAGCGTCCATAGGAAAGGCTCTAATTCTGAGATTATCCTCAACTATGGAAGTAACCACCCTGCAGCTCACAAAAGAAACTGCGTCCGAACCCTGTTCCACCGGGCCTACCGTTATTGCAACAGCAACGATCTCCTGAACAAAGAGCTTGCTCACCTGTATCGGTTATTCCGCTCTAACGGATATCCACTCAGTTTTGTAAAGAACTGCCTCAGGCACCAGACACAGTCGCAAGACCCCACCGCCAACGGACACGAAAGTTCTACTCCTTGCCATATATGCGTGGAACTTCTGAAATAATCGCCCGACAGTTCAACCGTTTGGGTATTCACGTTGCCCACAAACCGGCATCTTCACTACGCGCAGCACTATCTCGAGTGAAGGATCCCATCCCCAAAGAGCAACAAACGAATGTAATCTATCGCATCCCGTGCGCTAATTGCTCTTGCGCGTATGTTGGCCATACGGGTCGACGTCTGGGCACCCGTATCAATGAACACAAATTAGCCATCCGTCGGCGAGACCCCCTGTCCTTCGTCTTTGCCCATGCAGTCGAGTACGACCACCGATTTAATTGGGATGGCACTGAGATCGTCGCCATGGCTAACACAAAACGAGCGAGGGAATTCCTCGAGGCCTGATACTCCAATGCGGGTAGTATCAACCGTCATGTTGACTTAGATGCCCATTACGAGGGTCTACGTTCACGACTGACTGCCCCCTGCCCTAATCACGCATCAACGACGCCCGCATTCCAATTGATTCACTACCAACCCTCCCCCTCCAGCACAATGCGCCGTAGTTGTTCCGCCTTCTCTCCCTCCCCCCCTCCTCATTCAGGGACCTACCATGACCTCGGCAGCCCCCCCTCACACATCAGTGGTCTTTCTGTCCTATCACCAACTGGTCTACTGTGACAACCTAACTTTCTCCCATGTTTTCATTTCGTCTGACGACGGGCTGGTGTCACCAGCTCGAAAATGCACGAATACAACTCGACTTTTCCGAAGAACGTCTTCTATTTTTCATTATATCCCCTCGGAATGCATACCACCTCTGATCTACAACGTATATTTAGGCGTCAAACGCTTATTCTTACCAGACGTTGGGAGAAATTCACACAGAGACATGCGATGACTTGCGGACAACTGACTTTCCTCCACCGCTATCGCAATCACGGTGTGTTACCGAAGTCTCTTCGTTTCAAACCAACGTTGCCGCGACGTGACCACGACTATCAGTTTGTCTTTTTATCCGAACAATTTCTTGTTCACGGACCCTTGCCTAAGCCTTTTTTCCAGTCCCACCAACTGGAGTGACTTTCCTGCAATTGAATTTGTTTCGTTATATGACGCCAGATTCTCGACCGATTGGGCTTGAGTTCTTTACTTTCTGGCCGCGACGGTGAGTACGAGTGAGGGGTTGAGACATCTGCGAAATACGGCTTTTGACTCAGGATCCCCCCTCCCAGCATCTTGATATATGCCAACTGCGATCCGATCTACTGTGGTAAATCCGAGAAGTCGGCATCCGCCGGTATACATGAGCACCAGCTGGCGGTAAGTCGATAAGACCACTTATATCATCTGACCATGCAAACACTAGACACATGTCTGCTTGAGAGAAAATTTACATATTTGGCACCTGCACACAAAGGATGCCAGAAATTCCTAGAATCAACATACTCGAACGAAGCACAGTCCAGCAGACAAGTGGATCTAGATGTCGAATACAAAGTGTTCAAAGACAAGTGAAAATAGGCAATGCATAAATATCAAGGGAGATAGTTGGGGTACACTTTCCGCCGTCTACCTCATAAGCTTGGTGTACTGCTCGCTTTCCGACGTCGTTGTTCACATGAACGTACCGACGACGAGACCAAATCAAAACCTGATTCGACACAATTCGTCCGAAGCGATGGAACTTATCGTTGGAGAGCTCGGCGTGGGTATCGCTCACGGACCAACAGCGACCATGCGCAACAAAATCATTCGAGTGAAGGACCCACTAAACGTGGGAGAACAATCGGGTGTCATTTATCAGATCCCATGTCGGGACTGCCCTCGCCAATACACAGGGCAGACCGGGCGACGGCTTAGCTCACGAATAACGGAGCATAAACTGGCGGTTCGGAGAGGCGACCCTCTGTCTCAGATCGCCACTCACACCCTGGAAGAAGGCCACAAATTCGACTTTGCGAGCACGCGAATAGTAGCGCGGGCCAGCAATAAGACAGGGAGAGAAATTTTGGAGGCCTGGGTGTCTGACACCAACTCTATCAACAGACACGCTGACATACCTCCCGCTAACATGCGCTCCGTTCCTGCGGCCAAGAGGCGAGACCAAATTTTCAGCCAGGGGTACACGCTGTCACGCCGCAGTGAGACGGCGTGGGACTCAGCTTATCGCGAATCCCACCCTCCGCACTCATATTCCCCCTTCATGGCGTGACTACAAAAAATGCTCATTTGATGTGGCCTTCTCACAGTCTCTGAGGATGGCCTACTGTACGAGACCGAATGCTCAGACAATTACACCTTCTGTCCCAGAGATCATGTGCTCATTTTCTTTACAACATGAAAGTGGTCGTTGGGCCTTCAGGATTCACCCTTCGTCGTTGGAAAGGAGGGCAGGTAGAGTTCTCCAGGTCCGCTATCGTAGGTCGTCAGGCGTGGAGAGGTATAATTGGCAACATTATCAAGGTCAGCTAGATCAAGCACGACCACAGCTGTATCAGGTTCAGGTAAGCAAGTCAATGAAAAAGACGTCCGTTATAAACAATCTGACGACGGCCAATAAGTCAGAAATGGCTGTCGAGCTAAGTATGTGCGTGTATTGCCGCGGGAATATAGTAAAATAAAACCTCCCTCATCTAGAATGTCACATATTGCGGAAAATGGTGATTTTAAAAGAGTCAAAGTCCCTAATGGCGGATATTTTGTTTTAGGCAGAGGAAGGTGTTGTTGATTTAGCAACATATCACAAGTTCAGCGGATCTGAACAAAACTCCAGAGTATCAATAAAATGCCGGTGGCAAGGCTCGGAGATCCCACAGTGCTCATCTCTGGTTCATCAACTGTCGCTAGCTGGCAAAGTCTCAATCACGGGCACTGGCGCACCCAAGGTGTGAGCTCGGATTCAAGTGGGTATAAAGCATTTCGATAAAACGCTCTCACCAACTGACCTACTGGTACGGTGAAATACCCAGAAAAATGACTTACAACACCCCAATTCACGATGGCCTACCAGTTTTCGCGTGCTGACGCGTCGATCTCACTCGCCAGGAATACTAGTCAAGCAGCCAACATGATTTTAGAAGAGACAGTGGCGAGTGAACGTTCCTTTCGGTAAATTCTCATCAGGCCAATACAGTTACATAGGGAGGGGTACAGTAAGTGAAACAAAAATCGATCAAAGTTAGGTTTTAAATTACAGGCTCGGCAAGAGCGGAAGGGCGCCGAAAGTTGTATGTGGTTAGTCAACCTTTGACCACGGTAAGCGCGGAGCCTGAACAAGGTTCTTTTGGGCGCATAGGGTCGGTTTTCGTAACCTTATGGCGGCCGCTTCTGCTGTGGCTAACAGGCGCTGGCCCAGTAGCTTAGGGTAGCTCGAGGGGACCTTGTAAATCACACGAAATGCTTCAGCGGGGTCCACACGATGCCCTGAGTCCACTGCATGCGCAAGGATGGCGCTGTCTATTCTCCTAGTTTCACCCTTTGCCAGCCATGCGGGAAGGTGCTCTCGTATTCTTTTGGAAAGGCGCCGACTCGTAAGACCAATATAACCTGCTCCACAGGAGCAAGTGAATGAGTAGATGCACATTGATTTGTTTTGTTTTTGTTTTTGTTTCACTCACTGTGCCCCTCCCTATCTAACTGTATTGGCCTGATGAGAATTTACCGAAAGGAACGTTCACTCGCCACTGTCTCTTCTGAACATAGTGATGGGGATTTTCACAACTTTAAAACATGATTTTAGTCGATACAGACGCCTAGGTGGAAAGTAGTCAGTTTCTCAGCCACCAGCTTAGGAGTTCGCATCCTGGCTTCTTCAAGCAAACAGAGCTATCTGCGGCGCTCGACCGTTTCGAGGCGAGCATTTTGCATTTAGTTACTCCATGAAAGAAGTTTACAAAACAGCTGTTGAAGGAAGTAGCAGGTTAATGCTTTGCATTGGGGTTGTGCGTTTTTTTCTGAAATTCCACTGGCTTTTATCCACACATACCATGTGAGCCATTAATCTTTTCTAGGTATTTAAATTCTTCTCGATAAGCGCCATCTGGCCCACCGAAGGTGAGAAATTGTCTGCATGCACGACCATCCGACGCCCTTCCTTTTCCCTCGCTTCAGTTCTCATGACTCTGGCTTTTTTTGCCCGAAAATTTTTTTGCCTTGCTTCCAAACCACCACCCCCGCCCTGCGCCCAACTCTTTAAACCTTGGTATGCTCCAGTGCAT